AATCAAGGGGATTTGAACCCCAGGCCGACGGTGTCCCGACCACACACCAGCGCGCTCGCCACTCGGCTGTCAGCTGCTCCTCACCACTGATAGGTCAGAACTCGTTCCCGCTTTACGGGTCTTGGTCTCCCGTATTGCACGCGTGCAGGTCGGCTCAAGTCCACCTCCTTGACGCGCTGCAGCCCGGGTTGACTCCTGGCCAGAAACAAGGAAAATAAGCCATTTATTGGCCTTTTCCCGTGTTTCTGGCCAGGATTTCGACCCGGGCTGCAGCGCGTCGAGGAGGTGGACTTGAATCGACCTGAACGCGTGCAATACGGCAAGAATACGTAAAGAAGGACAGAGTTCTGACGAGACCGTGCACAGGAGCAGGCGACAGCTGAGTGGCGAGCGCGCTGGGGTGTGGTCCGGGAACCGACGGTTCAGGGATCGAATCCCAGCCGCGGTACTTTTCCCCGCTCTGTTGATGTCTCCGGGAGTCAGCGACAGCCGACATGCGCCTGTGTCCTTTGAGGCTCGCGAGCTCACCGCTGTGGCTGCAGGCGCAGGCACGGACAATGCAGGGAAGTGCTGTGGCTGAGAGCGCCTGGAGGGTAGGCAACCCGTGGGTCCCAGCGGCCCCTTCCGTGTGTGTGTGTGCGGGCGCGATGAGCTTAGCGTGTGAACGTTTTAGATGTTTCCCAAAGATTCAATATGGTTAGTCAAACAACATTTACCAAGTTGTTCAAAGTTTTTAAAACATAAGACCTTGAGGATCAAAGTAACAACGGTTTTTATGTTTTTGTTTTTCTATTTAATTTTATTAATTGCATTGTGTGTATTTAATATCCAGAATTCTTTAACTGTTTGGTGAATAGAACAACATGCCTTACTATGTACGAGTAATTATTCCTTTTGCGACTCATAAAATTACAAGAACACAATTGTAAGCACAATTGCTTCATTGAATGAGTTGAATGTCTTCAGAATGCATTAAAACTCAAAAACAACTATGAAATCTACAAAAGTCAATGTGTTTCTACATCTTTAACACCACAGTTCAGCCTTCATTTAATAACAATAAAAAGCTCATGCCCATGCTTCTTGATCTGGCAAGATCAGCACATATACAGAATAACCCTCCACATTGCTAATTCCTGCTTAACAATGAGCAGGTGTTTGGTCTCAAGGGACACCTATAACAAAAGACTTAGCACTATTTATGATCACAGACCAAACAATATATGAACAAGCCCAAAAGTCATTTTGGTTACAAGCTCTGCATTGTTTTGACTTCCAATTATAATAAAACCATAATTAGTAGCGCCTTTATCACAAGCCACAGTGATTTGCAGGATGCTGTTCGTGAAAAACTTGTCATTACTTCAATGTGTTTTTAACAGGGTGATCAACTTCAAAGCTGGTAATTCTTAGATGTTTTTCACACGGAAACTAGCCTCTAGAATGTATACAGTTGAAGGTGGTAACTTACAATCACATTGGTTTGGGCTTAGAGAATGTGGATAAAAACCTATTAAATAGCAAATGGACAATATCTAAACAATTGTGCTAAAACAGAGAGCCCTCATAAAATTACCTACAACCCAAACAAAAATCAGTACTGAATTTCCTGTGAACATGAATGAAGAATCATAATGACCCACTGCTTTATTTTGTAAAATCAGAGTTGTTTTCTGAGGACTATGAAAGAAATTTCACACTTTCGAACTTCATTCAGAATAAAATCATTAAGAGCAATCTTGCTCAGTGCAATCCAGATTTATTTCATTAGGAACTGAGAAAATGTTATCATTTTTTTCGTGAGTTATTTTCTTTTTCAGCACGTGCGTTTTCCTTCAGAATTTTTGATTTTAAATGTTCCTTGTAATTGAGGATACCACCCTCCCACTTTGTAACAGTACCGTTTTCACAAATCCAGATCACTTCCGCAACCTAAAAAGAGAAACTTGTTTAGATTACCTTGTCTTTTCTCGACATACAGACATGTGGATATTCTGTGGGTGGCATACCTGACTGATCAGTCTGAAGTCGTGACTGACAAGCACCATTCCTCCTTCAAAATCATTAATAGCATCAGCTAAGGCATCAATGGTTTCCATGTCCAAATGGTTAGTGGGTTCATCAAGCAATAGGAGGTGTGGTGCTTGCCATGCAAGGTATGCAAACACTACACGGCATCT